CGTTGCTCACCGCGCTTACTCCAAAGTTCACGAGAGGTCACCAATCCAAGTTGGACAGCCGCTCTAACGCCGCCGACACTGGAGACAAGGGTGTAGGGGCACCCGCGGGTAACAAGAATGCTGTTCAACCGAACACAGGGAACGCTGGTAGTGCTTCCACAACCACACAGGACCAGCACTCTGTCCAAGAGCCATCAACCCAAGGTCCATCAAACAAGAAGCTAGATACCTCAAGCCTCAAGTTGTTTGCCAAGGCATATCCATGTATGAGAAGGAGGCTCACCTACAGGCAATCAACATTCAACTTGGACCCTACTCAGAGCAAGACGACCCGAGGACATCCTTGCCCTGATGAGTCGTGTTCAAAGATATACATCTATGTCAACAGATTCAAGAAGCATCTAGTAGAGAGTCATTCATGGAGTTACGCCGATGCAGACACACTCATTGACACATGTGCCTACAAAGAACGATCACAGCTTGAAAAGGTGAAAGTTCAAGACCCTTCCCAGATAGACCATGAAGACCTTTGCACCGAGCTCCATGTCACCCAGAGCGATCATGTGCAGCTTCAAGAATCGGCCACTGCACCATCTGACCCATCTATCGTTGATGGTGAGCTCAGTATCCTTCAACGATACCAKCTGTCCCAACCTGAAGGTGAATCACCTGAATCTCACATCGATGGTGATATCTTTGTAGTGATTGACCTTGAGGGGACAAACATTGGCATTTGTGAGATTGCAGCTGTTTGTCTCCAATCCTCACGATCATTCTCAACTCTTATCCACCCTGGAAAGGGTAAGTCCAACCCCCACACACTATCATCACTCAATTACTCCAATCAGTCACTCATTCATACTCATTCATTTCATATCATTCAATCACACAATGGACAACCTGTTAACATTCTTCTAATATTATAATAGGTGTCCTCCACAGATTCAATCACTGYGCTGTCCCTTCTAAAGAGGTTATTAATCTCAAGTACGATTGGCAAACAGTTGGTCCAGTTTTCTTCTGTTGGTTGGAAGCTCTGAGACGCCATCCTCATCAACCCATCTACTTGGTTGGTCACAATATCAAGGGTTATGACTCGCACATGCTGATCA